GTCCACGTGCAATTCTGGACCGTCCGTTCCAGGTTCCGGTTTTCCGAAAATTAAACCGAAATTAGGGGTTAAATCACTTTATAAGAAAGAGATTAGAACCCTAATTCAGAGAGACTTTGAGCAGACGACTTTTGGTGTTCTTGGAGAGTTTTTGGTGAGATCCAAAGACCTAAACAAGTTCTAAGTCTCGTTTTTCTCGAAGTGCGAAAAACCGAATAGAGATTCGAGTCCTAGCAGACAAGTTCCAATCGTTGGAATCCATTCCGAGGTGTGGATACGTGTAGAGGGCGAGGTAATCTTCCTCCCTAAGTGATCGGACGAATTCTTCAGTTGATACAGGCCCCGGATCGATTGAGGTAAGCGTTCTAACGTTTCTACGTTTTCAATAGCAGCATGGTTCTAGGGTTTTATAAATTTTTGTTTTACTTCCGCTGCACAACCCTAGAATCGATCTCTTAGGAATTAGATTCGCTCATGAGATCCCAGGAAAACCCAACAAGCTATGGAAACCGTAAAAAGTCCCCGACAACGGCGCCAAAAACTTGATCACTTGCGTGACGAGCTTTAAATTTATACCCGACACACAACTAATCCGCAAGTATACGGATGTCGTAGTACCGGGGTCGAACACAAGGACTTAAGCGGTTAAGCTACGAATCGACTAAAACTAGGAAAATGGAGAAAATAAAATCGGAGAATTGTTTTTGTTGGTTTTCGTAAGTTGCAGAAAATTAAAAGAAAGAAAGTAAAATCGAAGTCAATCACAATTCAAGAGGAGATGATCGATGGGAAAGGTTATGGGAGTCGGGTTTCACCGATCATGCAAGGATGCCGTAAGGAATTATGGACCTAGATCATGCTCGTTCTAAGGTGAGGGATTCGAAGACTAAGGTCGGGTTCGGTTCTCTAAAACCGAAACCCCGCTATCCAAGAGAGCACTCTAGCCATTTTCATGGTCTAGAGAAAAATCCCGAATGCATTAAATTCCCTTATCATAATCCTAGATTAAACCGAATCAAATTTCTTCGGATTCAATTTCAACCCAATTGATTGAATGCATCAAGAGACCAAGAACCCATGTCTCCATGTAATTCACAATCCTAAAATCTACCCACAAAATTCTCATCCAATGGGTAACATTAAACACCATTCAATCAACCTCTAGCAATCAAAACCCAAACAATTGCATCACTCAATTTAACAAATCCTAGGTTTCCCTAAACATTCATTCCAAACCAAAGCAAACTCCTTGTTTCTCCTTCAAGATTTCGGCCCTAGGTCTTTTGGAGGAGAGAAAATCGCCTCTTGTTTCGTTCCCAAATCGAACTCTCTTCCAAAAGTCCGAAAAATCGGACTTAACTTGTTTCCAGGTCACGCGGTCCGCAGGACCAAGGTTTGGTCTAGCGGACCGGGAGTAAATGAAAGCACAGGACGCGGCGCAGAAGTGGTCCTGGTCCGGCTGACCAAACCTGGTCAGCTCCGGACCAGGTCTTCAGGGGACTCACACCGGCTGACTGGGGCAGGCGAGCGGCTGACTGTGCTTATTGCGGAGAACGTTTGGTCCGCCGGACCTGAGGCGGTCAGCTCCGGACCGTACTTGCATTTGGGTTTGGTCAGCTCGTCTTCGGTTCGGCGGACTGGCTCAGCACGGAACATTCCTGGTCCGGCTGACCAGAACTGGTCAGCTCCGGACCAGGCCTTCATTTTCGTTTGGTCAGCTCGTCTTCGGTCAGCGCTGGGCGAAGTTGTGGCGATCTCCTGGTCCGCCGAACCAGAGTTGGTCAGGGGCGGACCAGATGGACTGTTTTCTCCGATTCTCACCGAATTTGTGCGTTATGCCCTCGGGGTCCTGCCAAAGTCAAGAAATAGTCTTGAAACCCTAGAATGGCTCTAAAAATGCCTAAGAATGCGTGGAAACCGTTTAGAAACCAAAGACATACTCGTATAAAATCCAGATAAAATCTGAGCCATCAAGGAGCTAACAAAACATTAAAGAAAGGTAATGGAAAACAAGACACCATAAAGTAAGGAAAAAGTGGAAAGTTGGTTGAAGTGGATGTGCAACGTCTTGCAACGGGTAGGAGGCTTAAAGAAGCTCTTCATGAGGTTGAAATAATGTAGAAAACATCCCCAATTCTTGCTTGATAAAGGTGGGCCGAAATTGGGTTCAAAGATGGCACCATATCCTCTCCAATGGGTTGCTATCTTCTTGGACTTGTGTAGAATATGTTTGGGCTCTTTGGACTTGGTTCTTCAGCCCATTTATTGAGAATACATTCTTCAAATATCTTTTTAGTAGCCCAGGTGTTAGTCCACGAAATCTTAAGTGTTGGACAACACAAACTCCAAGACATTGCAATGTTTTGTGCTTGTTGCCGGTATCGTGTCCTTTGCATTGTATGGCCCCTTGTCCTCGGTGTTCACTTCTTCTCCTCCTATATCGTCTATGGCATCGTCTTGCTTCTCGTTCGGGTTTTGTTCGTCATCGTCTATGTCTTGGTCGATGTCATCATCATTGCCTCCCCCTTTCAAAGGTTTTGCCCTCAAAACTGAATCTCCTGCATCAAACGGAAGTAGGTCAGCTACATTGAAAGACGAAGAGACATTATACTTACCCGGTAACTCCAAGCAGTAGGCATTGTCGTTGATCTTCTCCAAGATGCGGAATGGTCCGTCTCCTCTTGGGGCTAGCTTTGAGCTCCTCTTGTTTGGGAATCTTTCTGGCCTAAGATGCAGCCACACCCAATCCCCGACTTCAAATGACACCTTCTTACGTCCCTTGTTGGCTTGTCGTGTGTATTGCTCGGTTTTTCTTGCGATGTTATCACGAACTTTGGCATGTAACTTTTTGATAGCATCCGCTTTCTTCTCCCCATCAAGGCTGATCATATCTTGGTTTGGAATTGGTGACATATCTAGCGGTGTCAATGGGTTGAAACCGTAGACAACTTCAAAAGGCGAATGCTTTGAGGCGGAATGCGTTGCTCGGTTGTATGCAAACTCAACGTGTGGTAGACACTCTAGCCAATTCTTGAGGTTGTTTCCTATTGTTGCTCGAAGTAATGCAGCCAATGTTCGATTTACGACTTCGGTTTGGCCATCGGTTTGCGGGTGACAAGTTGTTGAGAAGACGAGCTTTGTCCCAAGCTTTCTCCATAATGTCTTCCAAAAGTAGCTCAAAAATTTTGAGTCTCGATCAGACACAATACTTCTTGGCAACCCATGCAAGCGAACCACTTCCTTGAAGAACAAGTCGGCGATGTGTGAAGCGTCATTCGCCTTTGCACATGGAATGAAGTGTGCCATCTTCGAGAACCTATCCACAACAACAAAAATGGAATCTTTGTTCTGGATTTTTGGAAGTCCAAGAACAAAGTCCATTGATAAATCAGTCCAAGGACAAAATGGAATTGGAAGAGGAAGATACAAACCGTGCGGGTGTGTCTTAGATTTTGCTTGATGGCATATAATGCATCGAGCGACAAATCGTTCGACATCCCGTTTGAGATGCGGCCAAAAGAAGTGCTCCTTGATCATCACAAGTGTTTTCTCGACACCAAAATGTCCCATGAGAGCTCCTCCATGAGCCTCTTGTAGAATGAGATCCTGCAACGAGCATTTCGGGATGCATAGTCGTTGTTCCCGAAAGAGATAACCGTCCTCCTTGTAGAACAGTCCGTGAGCTCCCTTAGTGCACTCCTTATAAATATTCCCAAGCTCCAGATCATCACGGTACAACTCCTTAATGTGCTCAAAGCCGAGCATTTTTGCCTCCATGATCGTAATCACGGCATGTCGCCTTGACAATGCATCGACCACCACATTGTCTTTGCCCTTCTTGTATTTAATCACGTACGGAAAAGTCTCGATGTATTCTAGCCATTTAGCATGCCTCCTCTTGAGTGTTGATTGACCCTTGAGATGTTTCAATGTCTCATGGTCGGTGTGGATGATGAACTCACGGGCCAACAAATAGTGTTGCCACGTTTGGAGAGCTCGAACCAACGAGAATAGTTCTTTGTCATATGTAGGATAATTAAGAGTGGCTCCATTGAGTTTCTCACTAAAGAACGCCACGGGACGCTTCTCTTGCATAAGCACGGCCCCTATGCCAATTCCGGATGCATCACACTCAAGTTCGAAGACTTTGTCAAAGTCCGGGAGGACTAGGACGGGTGCACTTGTGAGCTTATCCTTCAAGGCTTGTCCTTCTTTATGATAGACATGAGGGGTGCAGCAAGGCTGCTGAAATCTCGCACAAAACGACGGTAAAAACTTGCTAAGCCATGGAAACTTCGAACATGGCCAACGGTAGTTGGTGTGGGCCACTCTCGAATAGCTTTGATCTTTTCTTCGTCCACGCTTAATCCCTGCGAACTCACAACAAATCCTAGGAAAACAACTTCATTAGTGCAGAATGTGCACTTCTTGAGGTTCGCGTATAGCTTCTCTCGACGGAGAGTTTCCATCACGAGCTCAAGATGTGTCACATGTTCGGTAAAACATTTGCTATAAACCAAAATATCATCGAAATAAACAACAACAAATTTACCGATGAAAGCACGTAAGACATGGTTCATGAGTCTCATGAACGTGCTTGGGGCATTGGTAAGGCCAAAAGGCATGACGAGCCATTCGTACAACCCTTGTTTTGTTTTGAATGCGGTTTTCCACTCGTCTCCTTCACGCATACGTACTTGATGGTAACCACTCTTTAAATCCACCTTTGAAAACATGGTTGCTCCACTCAACTCATCTAACATATCATCTAGTCGTGGAATGGGATGACGGTACTTGATGGTGATGTTGTTTATCGCTCTACAATCAACGCACATGCGCCACGTAGCCACGTCCCATCCTTTTTCGGTACGAGCAAAACCGGCACTGCACAAGGACTTAAGCTTTCGCGTATATAACCCTTAGATAATAACTCTTGTACCTGCTTTTGGAGTTCTTTAGTTTCCTCGGGATTCATACGATAAGCGGGACGATTCGGTAGAGGTGCTCCCGGTACGAGATCAATTTGACGCTCGATCCCTCGAATTGGTGGCAATCCCGCGGGTGTCTCCTCGGGGAAAATGTCTTGGAAACATTCCAAGAGTCTTGTGATCTCCGGAGGGTGCACAATCTGTTCGGAGCCTGTACTCAAAGCATCTTTGAACAACATTAGTAAAACCAAGCGGTCATTGACTAACGCATTACTTACCGTACTCGGTTTTACATAAAAACTTGTCTTTTTGTCGTCGCCTTCCTTTGACAACTTCACTTGCATCTCATGAACCTGCGATGGACTAAGGGGAGCCAACGATATCTTACGTTTGTTATATATGAATGAATAATGGTTAGTCCTACCATCATGTTTCACCTCTCGATCGAATTGCCATGGTCGTCCAAGAAGAATGTGTCCGGCTTGCATTGGAACCACATCACATAATACTTCATCTTGGTATCTCCCAATGCTAAATGAAACTTTGACTCTCTCATTTACCTTAAGTTCACCTTGGTTGTTAAGCCATTGTAACTTGTACGGATGAGGATGCTTCTCGGTTTCAAGCCCTAGTTTCTTTACCATGTAGGCACTCGCAACGTTAGTACAAGAACTGCTATCAATAATTAAACCACATACCTTGTTCCTCACGGTACAACGACTGTGGAATATAGTCTCGTGACCAATAACTCACCACTATTCGGGTATTCGATCTCTTCTTGTACTTTCTCAACTTCATCCTCGTCCATTGATTCATACTCTCCCGCATCGGTGAGGATCATGACTCGATTTTTCGGGCAATCCTTAGCATAATGTCCACGTCCCCTACACTTGTAGCAAACAATCTCTCGAGTTCGGAGGTTAGTAGTGTTCGATTTACTTACCTTTGTATCCTCCTTATAAGTAGCCATGGATTTCCCCTTGGACTTAACATGAGTTTCGTCCAGACTTGGTCGGCTCACATCGGTGGAAATGCCCTTGTACTCGGGTCGGTGTGTCGGAGGATTCGGTGCGGTCATCCGAGCTCGGTTTACCCGAGTTTGCTTCTTGTTGATTTGTTGTTCAATTTGTATTGCCATATGAAGTAGTTCCTGCAACTCATGGTAAACTAATCTTTCTACCTTGCGAGAAATTCGTTCTTGCAGTCCATTAACAAATTGTGCCATCACCGCTTCCTCGCTTTCGTCCAATTCCCATCGGTTCCGAAGATATTCAAATTCTTCGAAGTAATCTTCCACCGACCTAGATCCTTGCACTAGAGTACGATATTTCTTCTGTAACTCTCGATGAAAATGAGGTGGAACATACCTTTTTCTCATCATAAGTTTCATCTCACGCCATGTGGAAATTGGTTCGTAGCGTGCTCTCCTCCTTTCCGCTACTTCACGATCCCACCATGCTAGTGCATTGTCGGTGAGTTGTGCCGCAGCATATTGCACCATCTTGTGCTCCGAATACTCATAACACTAAAAAATATTATCCATCCGCCTCTCCCAATCGAGATAGGCATCCGGGTTAACACGACCAGCAAATGTAGGTAATTTTAATTTTAGATCGTTACCGTGTTCTCTTGCACGACGTTGTTGTTCTCGATAGAAATCGTCGTCATCATCATCTTCAACAATTGGGACGTGGTTCCTGCCTTCTCTACGTCTTGGAGGACATTCAACAGGGATTCTTTCTCGTTCTCGTAAAGGTTCTTCACGGCGTGGAAGGCTGGCCCGAGTAGGTTCCGACCTCCTTGGTGATTCCTCTAGACGTGCCAACCGCTCTTGTATGTCTTGTAGGATTTGTGCTAACGCGGCATGGCTAGTCTCTCCTTCTCCCGACATTCTTACTTCTTTATTTTGATTTTCTCAAAGAGTTTTGATTAAAAGAATCACAAACGAAACACAAACACAAAGCAAACACAAAGTAGGAAGAGATGTAGTGTTACCTCTTCACCGGTGGGAGTGTTTTTGTGGTTTTCGGTTTTTCTTCAAAGCAAAACGGTGAAATCTAATTAAAATGAAAGTAAAACACAAAGAGAGATACTTTACCTTAGGGTGGTCCTTGAAAAGGGCTCTGATACCAAAAATGATATATGCACGGAACCAAGGAAGCCTCACTCGTTTCCTTCGGTGAAATGCGGTTTGTACGTGCGTGACTTATGTTGTCGTTGGGTAACGAAAGCAGCTAGCTCAAGACCAGGGGACACTTGGAGACTCACTAAGGTATTTATATATATATATTTAAGAGGAGACCCAGGCCAAAGGGCTCTCGGAATCCCTCAAAAACAATCTGCAAATCGGACTAAAACAGAGCACTCGAGAGCACTCGGTTTAGGTGATAGATGGAAGGGAAGTTCCAGGCCAAAGGGCACTCGGATGATTCCCAATTTTTGATGGAAGATAGGGGTATGAAAGAGGATTCAAAAAGCCAAACCAACCTTGAATCCACCACGTTTTGACCTTGCATAAGGGTGACACACACACACATGCGCAGAAGGCGATACTCTCGGACACACCAAGAAGAAGAAGCAAAATGCAACTCGATTTCTTATCAATTCAAAGTCTGCTCACTCTTGACATACAAGGGCCTTTAAATAGGCTTGAAACACAGAAGAAAGCAAGAGAAATTCGTGCATAAGGTGGAGCTAACAAAACATTAAAGAAAGGTAATGGAAAACAAGACACCATAAAGTAAGAAAAAAGTGGAAAGTTGGTGGAAGTGGATGTGCAACGTCTTGCAATGGCTAGGAGGCTTAAAGAAGCTCTTCATGAGGTTGAAATAATGTAGAAAACATCCCCAATTCGTGCTTGATAAAGGTGGGCCGAAATTGGGTTCAAAGGTGGCACCATATCCTCTCCAATGGGTTGCTATCTTCTTGGACTTGTGTAGAATATGTTTGGGCTCTTTGGGTTTGGTTCTTCAGCCCATTTATTGAGAATACATTCTTCAAATATCTTTTTAGTAGCCCAGGTGTTAGTCCACGAAATCTTAAGTGTTGGACAACACAAACTCCAAGACATTGTGATAACACATATATGTTTATATATTTTTGTATAGATATATATCATATTTTGTAAGATTTATATATTTATATATATTTTTTTGTATAGTTTTACATCGAATTCGATGTTTTTCATGTTTTGCAGGAAAAATGGAACGCGTGATAACACATATATGTTTATATATTTTTGTATAGATATATATCATATTTTGTAAGATTTATATATTTATATATATTTTTTTGTATAGTTTTACATCGAATTCGATGTTTTTCATGTTTTGCAGGAAAAATGGAACGCGTGTGGAAGCAACCGAAAAATTATGTTGAAACTGGGCTATATATATATCATATGTGTAATTATATATGTCGTGTGTATATACACTATATATAAATATATATTACCTATATAAAATATATAATAGAACATGTAAATAAGTATATGTGTATATGTATATTATATATATGAATATAACGTATATATATATATATATATATATATTGTGTGTATAATTATATTTATGTCATATAATAGGTGTATCTATATACAGTATGTATGTATATATAAATATTATGTAAGATACATATATAGATATAATATAATATTATATATTTATAGCATGCATATATGATGCATGCGTATATATAAGTATAATATACAGATGTATTAATATATATATGCAAATATTAATGCGTGTATTTTAGTATATAATTATATAGAAATATATGCCTATGTATATTTGTATAGGTATATAATTATATATAGTGTGTATGGTATACATACGTTGTATATATATAATACGTGCGTGTGTGTATGCATAATTACAAATATCAACTTGATGCATGTATATATTATATATGATAAGTGTATGCATATATATCTATATATATAATATATAAAATAAAAAGAAGGAGAAGACATGATTAGCCGCCATCCACTTGCTCGGTCCGACAATCTCTCTGTGATTAGTGCCATTGCAAAAGAAAAGGAGATGAAGAAGACAATTATCATTCTCTTTATGCCTCTTTAAAAAGAGAAGCCATCGACGATAGGAGGGGGAACAAAACAAAATACAGCGGAGCATTTGTCAGAGAGAGACACATAGACTGAGAGAAAGGGTTTTGTGAATCAGATTTTTGGAGAGCTCTCGGTGGATTCAAGAGACATTCAAGGAGAAAAGAGTACAGGGGAGGGATCGGTTCAAACTGCAAAAATACTTAGAATTCTTCTCCCATCTCTTTTATCCATGAATTCTTGTTGGATTGTTATTTCTGTGATTTATATGGCATGTAAATAATTTCATCATTGTAGGTTAGAGATTTAAAAGGGTTATGTAAAATTGTGTGCTTAAATTATTTTGAGACTTTGTTAATTACGGTTAAGATTGAATGAATAGATTTTAATGCTATGAATTATGTTGGCCACATAAGTAATTGAGTTTAGAATTTAATTTTGCATAGAGATATGAAAATTAAATTCAGAAATTATTCGTTCACTTAAACGATCCTTACATCGAGAGATAGTTGCATCGTTTAGGAATTATGATAGAATACTTAATGATCTTGAGAATTTTAGTTTACTTAGAACCGAGAGGTCGGTAAACTTTAGTTCTTAGGAAACGAGGAGATATTCGAGAGAGTAATCCCCTACAACCTGAACTTGAATTCCCTAACCGTAACATCAGTTATCAAGATACATCATTTGATCCAATTCTTACATAACCCGAAAAATTCCGAAACCTACAATGTCTTAATTCAATTGTGTTAAACTCGTTGTTTAGCATTTTTCAGTAATTTAATTGTCATCACCATCAACCAAATTATCGCCTCGACCGATACCGAATAAATTCTAGAATTGTTATTGCAAAAACCCTCGTGTCCTTGTGTTCGACCCTAGGTACTACGATTGACTCGTGCACTTGCGGTAGTTGTGTCTAGGAAATAAAACAAGAGTAGATCACACCCTAGATCGACATCACATTGCAATGTTTTGTGCTTCTTGCCGCTATCGTGTCCTTTGCATTGTATGGCCCCTTGTCGGATGTTTTGATCAGCCATTCTTCGACATATGCATTGATCTTTGAACGTAGGCTTCGAGTCCTTTGTCTTGTAAGTGGAGGTATGGGAATGGTTGGCATGGTAAGCTCGGTGTTCACTTCTTCTCCTCCTATATCGTCTATGGCATCGTCTTGCTTCTCGTTCGGGTTTTGTTCGTCATCGTCCATGTCTTGATCGATGTCCTCATCACTTTCCCCTCTTATTTTCCTTCGGTTTGGACAAAATTGGAAGTTTTCCCGAATTTAGGGGTCAAACTGATCGTTTCGGCAAAGCCAAACCGATCGGTTACACTTTCTAAGCAATTTTTCAATTTCTGCGATGCCGAACCGATCGTTTTGCTAAACCCGAACCGATCATTTTGTGTTTCTGAGCAGTTTTGACAGGCTTCATGAATTCGCTCATAACGTCCTGCTCCGATATTGGATTTGGGTGATCTTGGTGTCTATGCGTAGATATCGAAGAGATTCCAATGATATAGAGATTGCATGGTTTGGACTTGTAGAGTGAAAGTTATCGGACTTGCAAGATCTGACGTTTTTTGAGCTTCACGTTTTCCCTGGAAATACTTCAAATGTTCCCGTTTCGTCCGTGATATTTCGTAGCCCATGTTTTCCATTCTTTTTGCTCTTTTATGCATGCAAACCTATTTTAAACACCAAAGAACACAATCATGCAATATCGAAGCCAAATGTGCCCTAGAATGCCTACAAATATGTAAAATACGTCACCCAAAATACGTGTTATCATCGAACGATTTAACATCCTTAAGAACCTGGTCAACTGTAAGATGACCAATGGTTCACCCGTGAGTACTCATATCCTCAAGATGAAGGGTTATCTAGAGGATCTTGACAGACTAGGGTTGGAGGTTAGTCGTGAATTGGCAGTAGACCTAGTTCTTCAATCCCTGCCGGATAATTCTGACCAATTTGTCATGAACTATAACATGCATGGGATGGAGAAGGACTTGAACGAGCTACATGGGATGTTCCGATCAGCCGAGCAGAACATCAAAGTCGAGAAGAGTGTCTTAGTGATTGGAAAGAGTTCCAACAAAAGGAAGTGTTCCAATACTACAAAAAAACATTCAATTAGCAACGAAATTTATTTCGTTGCAAAGTTACCAACGTTTTGTAACGAAAAAATTTTTGCAACGATTTTGCAACGCTTTGCAACGCAAAAATTGCGTTGCAAATTAGCAACGAAATTTTTCGTTGCAAAGCTTGCTAAAGCGTTGCAAAATCGTTGATAAATCATTGCAAAAAATTTTTACTACAATTAGCAACGCTTTGCAACGTAAAAATATCGTTGCTAATTTGCAACACAATTTTTGCGTTGCAAAATCGTTGCAAAAATTTTTGATAAATCGTTACAAAAAATTATAACGATTTTGCAACGCATTACAACGCAAAAATTTCGTTGCTAATTTGCAACGAAATTGTTGCGTTGCAAAATCGTTGCAAAATTATTTCATTGCAAATTAGCAATGAATTTTGCAACACAATAATTTCGTTGCAAATATTATCATTTAAATTAATATGATTTGACTTTTGAAAAAATAAATACAGAAATTTGCAACGCAATTTCATTGTTAATTGGATTTGCAACGCAATTTCGTTGCTAATTTGTAACGAAATTGCGTTGCAAATATAATTAGCAACGAAATTGCGTTGCAAATATAATTAGCAACGAAATTACGTTGCAATTTTAAAATAAATTTGTGGCTACGATTGATTATGGTTTTCACGTCTTTTGCAACGAAATTTCGTTGCTAATTGGATTTGCAACGCAGTTTCGTTGTAAATTTACAACGAAATTGTGTTGCAATGTTTTTCTATATATTCAACATCTAAACACAATCCATCAACAATTTCTCACTTTAAAAATTATCTAAAGCCTCTCTCTATCCCTAACTCTTAAAAAAAGTCAAATAAAAATATATTTTATTATTTTTATTAAATGTTTATTTTATTATTTTTTTAATTATTTATTGATAAACCTTAATTTATAACGTTTAAATAAACTTTATAATTCTACAAATATATATATATATATATATATTATTATCTTTATTTAATATTTATATTATTTTTATTTAATATTTATATTTTATTAATATTTTTTTAATTAATTACTTTTAAATTTTAATTTAATTCTTCTAATAACCTGAAATTCTAAATTATTTTTTTTATTTTTATATTAATTTTAGCAACGCATTTTTTTCGTTGTAAAGCGTTGCGATGTGCAACGAATTGAAACGCTATATTGGTTTGTAACGACGAGTTAGCAACGAAAATTTTTTCGTTGCAATTTCGTTGTAAACCCTGTTTTGCAACGGAATTTGTAGGTTTGCAACGAAAATTTTCGTTGCTAAAAGATTGTTTTTTTGTAGTGCAAGAGCAAGAAAGGCAAGGGCAAGACGACAATTGTTGTCGTCGAGCCTAAGTCTAAGGCTGAGAAGGGAGAGTGCCATTTTTGCCATGCTATTGGGCATTGGCGCAGAAACTGCAAACTCTACCTGGAAGATCTGAAGAAGAAGAAGAAGCTTGCAGAAGCTTCATCTTCAGGTATCCTCGTTATAGAGGCTAATTTGTTTACTTCTACATCATGGGTATTAGATACTGGATGTGTCTCTCACATTTTTTGAAATGTGTAGGGCCTGAGAAGAAGTAGGCAGCTAGCGAAGGGAGGAGTGGATCTCCGCGTCGGGAATGGAGCAAGAGTTGCTGCATTGACCGTTGGGACTTATGATCTTACTTTATCTTCTGGACTTGTGTTAGAATTACATGATTGTTATTTTGTACCTGCCATTAGCAGGAATATTATTTCGATTTCATGTTTGGATTCTGATGGTTTTTGTTTTGTCATTGAGAACAAAACTTTATCTATTTATAGATGCACTTTATATTATGGTAATGGTTACCTTTTAATGGCCTTTACATTTTGGATGATAAACCATCTGGACATAATTCGATCTATAACGTTAGTACCAAGCGGTTTAAGCCGAACGACTTAAACCCGACCTATCT